TGTTGCAGGTGCAGAACAGCGCTTTCAAAAGCACAATTTGAGATCCACTTAGAGCAAGAGATTTGGTGCTAATATAGCCTGACAATGACTTGTTGATTTTTTTTATATTGTTTCTTGCTTTATGATTTTTGTTAAGCATGGTTGTGGAGTTCAAAGTTTATGATAGTACACAGTGTAAATCCGTGCAAACACCCTACGTTAACAAATTGTATTTTGCCCCATGTTTCTTTAAGTTATTTCATGTTTGCAGATATCTGCACATCTTAAAAGACATTTCGAGAATTAGAACCGCTTGGTACCCTGATTTTCTAGCTTCATATTTTGGGTTTGCATGAGAAATCCTGTTTTTCATAGCGATTGTGGTTTTGTCTGTTTACAGAAATGTATCGGTGCAGCATATGTGGCAGCGCTAACGCAACTCTCTCTGCTTTCCTTAAAACATGCCCCTTTACACAAGAATATCAGTCATCTTCCAATCAAGTGCCAAAAAAATCGCATTAAATATACACACACTATCACATTATATAATGCCACATTATGTAATGTGACTGTTTATATATACAGTCACATTAGCCGTAAACACAGGGAAATTGGAAGAGCAATGCGAGAGAATCATGTTGTTGTGAATGTGAAACCATGCAGTTTGGTCTCCACTGTTGACAGTTGCATTCAACTCTGCAAAGATTACAAGTCACTTGTTGCACATATGAAGATTGACATTTTCCAAGGCACACCAGTGAGATTTCCTTTTCAGACATGCAAGAGGATGTACAAAACAAGTCATCTTTCTCTTCACACCTTTCTCGATGTCATGGGAAGAGCGCATGCATCGATTCAGACACAGCTTTCCAAATGAATCTGCGCAACCAAGACGCACAAATGGTTAATGACACTGAACAGTTCACGATTAATGTGGAGGATGATGTGGTTGTAGACTCGGGCATCAGTGTGAGTGAGCTTTGCCAATGTGCGGTCCAACGAGAGAGGAACAAAATTACTAGCATTAAACCGCGATCTGTTTAATGATATGCTTCCTGTTTTAAGGTATACTGGATGCGAGAAACGCAAGTATAGTAGCTGTCAGTGCATAGACATTAGAAGCTTTAAATTCAACCTTTAGTGCTAGAAAGGTTGGAAGCTTAATGTTAGACTGATGTGGCAATATCTTATTTAAAGTGAAGGTAATTAAAGAAAAGATCTCTATATGCCAAAGGTATATGCTTAATGAAGAGCAAGAGGGTGCCTTTGTAGGTACACCGTATCTAACAACATTCTCGTACATCTGCACTGCTAAGCACAAGCCTCTTCTTTTTAGGTCAATTGCCACTATCAATCCCGGAAGGGGCACAAAGCTTGAGCAGACACGTGGGAAACAACACAACCTGAACCCGAAAGTGGATTCATCCGTGCCGGCCAACTCGCTCAGTTTTTCTGATAGATGCCTACATCTGGGTCCCTTAGGATAGTGAGGGAATATGCCACAAATGTGCCAAAACAGCCCTAACAGCCAGTTTTTTTTTTTCGTTTTGTTTGTCGTGGACCAAACGCCTCGCCCCACATACACAAATCTCTCGTTCTCCAAGATCCGCACATTCGCAAGTGCCTGAACATTTAAGGTTTACTTCAATAAACATGCTTGCATTTCACTTTATGATGTACTAAATTGACGCATTTCGGAGAGGATACACGCTATATAAAGGGAAAAGTGCAGATGCAAAAATAGTCCTTTCGAGATTTTCTGTTCTTGCACCACAAACATCTTAATTTTGCATAACCTATAACATTATGGAATAATAGAACTGATGTTGCTACACGTGAAGAGAAATACAAGTTCTAAAATTTCTTGTTATATAATAGAACAGAAACCTTATTGACAGATACTTCCTGTACTAAAAACAAATAACTTGAAATCACAAAAAATATCTGTACTGCAAATACAGAAGGGTAGTAATATTACAGAAAATTTGCTGTTAGTCAAAACAGAAAATTTTATTTAAAGTAACAGAAGTTTTCTGTTACTTATAACAAAAAATTATGCGAAATCATGAAAATTTTTTGTTGCTGATAACAGCGAAAATTGTGAAATCACAAATATTTTCTGTTACTGAGAACAGAAAAATTTTCCAAAATTACTGAAGTTTTTGGGATTAAAAACAAATTGGAAACAAAAAGAAACAGAAATTTTCTGTTAGCAGGAACAGAAGAGCTATGTAAAAATACAGAACGCATAAAAACGGAAAACAAAAGCAAACAAATTTTCTGGCAGGCCAGCTGCCAGAAAATTTGTTTTTTTCAGGAAAAATTTTTTACAGTGATATAACGCGCGTTAGTACTATGGCACAATATTTCACATGTGCTGGCGAAATACCCGCGTAATTTGTGCACCCCCTTTTCGGGGCCCCAAAATCGGGTAAAAAATTGCGCAAATTATGCGAGTAAATACGGTATATATATATATATATATATATATATATATATATATATATATATATATATATATATATATATATATATATATATATATATATATATGGGTATTTTCATATCAAGTGTACCCGAGCAATTTTCGACCATCCCCAATCATGCCTAACTATCGTGCAGGCATATGTCAATGTAAGAAGTAGGTATTGAAGCGTTACATTTCGCAAAAATAATTTTGTGTTACCTATAGAAGGCGCTTCAAACTTTGGGCACCGAAGTGAAAGTGTGTCACGCTAAATTATTTATGTAATAGTACTGATTTGAGCAATTACTACAAAATATCTTTTCCCTGATGTAAAGGTGCTACTCTTTCATGACTATGGTAGCTTGTTCATTTTTGTTTGAACTGTGTTTTTCTTGTCGCCTTAGCGAAAAATTGCAATACGGTATATGTTTAGCGTTTTTTGTATATATAGCACAATTTCTCGTAAGTAATATATTTACATTTTTCTGTTAGTACATGTTTCTGTAGTAGACGATTAAAATGCTTTAGAAGCGCATGAAGCAAGAAACATTGCCCAAATATTGTGACAAAGTTGGCAGAAACAGCACTTTTGCAGCAGTAGGCAGAAACAGCTTAAGCTTCGCAATGCAGCGGCCCAAGTAAGAAAATATGGCTTATATAACACTGAATAGTCAAGTGTGTCAATAAGACATGCAGAACATTTTCAAAAGAGTAGACTTTGTGTTTGATCTTAACAACCACAAGGTACTACGTAGCTTGCCTTTGTCTCGCCTTCACTGCATAGCACTTCATTGCACTTACCACTGGTGTGTATGATGAAATGATGCATCCTAAACACGTTACAGTTGATGCTGATTCATGCCCATAAATGACACCTCAGTCACCATTTCCTGACGAATTTTAACATTTACACCCCCCTCTTTCTTAATGGTCCAAAAGTGCTGAAAATGTTTTAATTAAAAGCTCTTCCGATAATGGTGACGTGCTTTCAAAGTTTTAAGCACCCTAAGACCATTAAAAAAATATGGATGCAAAGTTTAAATAACGATATCAAATGATTTCCATCTGGATAAGATACATCATTTCAATATGCACACCACTGCTAAGCGATCACGCGTTGGGCTATGCCTGATACATTATAAAAACAGCTTAAACTATAGTTCATGTCGTTAACTATTGTTAGGACCATGTGTATTCATTATCAGGAGCCAAACATAATGCCCCAGTGCTGTGTTCCAGGCCATCGACTGCATTATAATTCTGCCCCTTCGGACTAAGCAGCGGTTCAATATAACCTGCCTTTCGATGAACGAAGGGGGACAATACCATTTCAAAAAATAAGCAGTATAGCCACTTTTTGACGTTCTATACAGCAGTATTACTAAAACGAGTGACAAGCCGTTGTATGACATGCATTAGTCCCTGCCAAAAAGCCCCCCCTGGGACCTCGAGCTGACATGCTGTGCAATGAAGATGAGGCAAAGGCAAGCTTCAAAGTACCTCGTGGTTGTCGAGATGGAAAAATTATTTTTCTTTCTTCAAGCAAATTTTATTCGTTTGAAACTTTCTGCACCTCTCACTGACACAATGTGATATGAAACATTGTATAAGCCATATTTTTTACTTGAACCGATACATTTCGAAAATTAAGTTGCAATATGTCAGAATGCTGTTTTTGTTCCAACTTTGCCACAATATTTTGCCGATGTTCTTGCTTCATTCGCTTCTAAAGTATTTTATTCATTTAATATAAAATGCTTTAAAACATAATATGTATATATATCACTAGCAAAAATTGTGCGTTATATAAAAAAACAATAAATCTGCAGCATATTGCAATATTTTGCCAAGGCAACAAAAGAGAAACTTCAAACAAAAATGAATAAACGACCACAGTTATGAAAGAGTAGCACCTTGAGATTAAGGAGAATTTTTTCACATAGTAATTGCTCATACCAGTAATATTATAGAAATTATTTAGAACAACACAGTTACACGTGGGTGCCCAACGTTTGAAGCGTCCTCTAGGCAATACATTTCTTTTTGTTTTTGCCTAATAAAGCGTCTCAACAACTACCTCTCAAACTTGTCCTTCACATATCTGCACGATTTTTTTTTTTTTTCGGAGTGATTAGATATGGTCAAAAACTGACCAGGTACACTTGATATGGAAAGGACTCTCTCTCTCTCTCTCTCTCTCTCTCTCTCTATATATATATATATATATATATATATATATATATATATATATATATATATATATATATATATATATATATATATATATATAAAGTGAAATAGCATCCCCAACGCGAACCCCAACTCTGCTTGGGACATCCCGCATGCGCAGTGGCGCTATAATTTGGGAGGCGCCAAACCGACTGCGGCCCCTATTCAAGAACTCCCTATTATTGTCACGTGGTCGTGACGTAGAAATTCTAGCCTAAATTGAAATTTTAGCCTACATCTTAAGCTCCAAGTTTGAAGACAGGACAGATGACAGCACCACAGCTCACCACTGGTCATGGGAGCCTGAATAATGACAGCACCATAATTCCATTCAACAATTTTATTATTAAACACTTTAATGTGAAGTTAAAAATTACATCTGATGTAACTGTATGCGTGTGCAAAGATAAACACGTTTATGGCTTCAATACTGGCACGGTGGCCACGGTGTAACTGGCCCAAAGAAAAAAGCGGGAAACATTGAGCACGACAGATACAAAGATCAGTACCACTGCCTCGACCAAGCTTTCGAGAAAATATATGCACTGAGGTTGCATCGCAAGGAGCAAAGTGACAATGCATGTTCTAAATATATTGACGAGCTACTACAATTATTATGAGGCTGCTGCTATCATGAAGCCCATCCTGCAACTAATGTTTGTCCTTTGTATGAAGCTAACATTTACTTAAGCCCTCCAAAGCGCTGTTCTTCAAATCTGTGCTCTAAATTCTGTGCACATTAACAAATGCAGTCTAAACAATGTCCTGTTATTCTCTCTAAAGTGCCTGGAGAAATGTACAAGGTAGCATTACTTGCATTGTTTAGTGTGCAATGTGCAGTACACAGAAATATAAAAATCATTGTGATAATAGTGTATAAACAAAGAAAGTGTCTAGTCATTAAAAGCATCACCTTGCAATTTCCTATTTCAGAAGAGCAACTCCCAAATGATTTAAAAACTGACACATGATGACTTCAGCTGAAGGCTGAGTTGCAAAACACAAGATGCAAACGCTAAAAAAAAAAGACGTGGAATAAGGACAAAATAATATGCATTATGCATCTTATTATGCTCTGAATACTGTGTGAGTGAACCTTACTGGGAAACAAACAAATGAATGCTATCAAAGCGTAAAGATCGTGGCACACTTATGTCAAGAAAAATTACAAAGATGCAGTGTACATATTGGCATCTATGCAGAGCAAAGCTTTATTCATGATGTGTTGACTGAATCCTATACAGCTAAAGGTGATGCATTCAACTGTTTACCTTCATCCCACATTTAAGTGCAATGAGCATTACTTATGAGCACTACTTAGGCAAATTAAAAATAATGGTAACACTGACTTAAATATTATGCTATAGTCTGCACTGCTCACAAGTTACCCGGAAACTAAAACACCAGATCAGTTTGACACTCGGCGCAAGACGTCAACACATCGATGTCACAAGGACTCTTATGCACTCTTATCGTTGAGAGAAGCATAATATTGGCAAATGTACTCTGTCACACTTCGGGTGAGCCCCGCCGATCCAACATCGACGTGCGGGAGACTCGCAGGCTTCCACCTCGCACTTCGGCCTGCGACGCCTGAAAGGCCATGAAGTGGCACATCTCAAATTTATTTGCAGGTCGGTCGACCCGTGTGGGGTTGCACGTGTGGTGATGTACAAGCTTGACCGACGTACTCATAGTGCAGACACGGACGTTTGCTTAAACACAAACAAGCATTTAATTAAAACAAGGGCAATGGCAAGGAGATTGCAGGAAAATAACAGAGCAAAAACACTAACACACCATGAAAAAAACAACAAAGCAAACTATTCTCTAGAAAAACACTACGACAGGTACAAGAAAAAAACAACGAGGAATGTTATTAAATTACAGCACAATGGAAATCAAAGAGAGATACAAGGAAATCATTGCGGAGCAGAAGATCATGCTTGCACTTCTGAATTGCTACGTGCGACGCAGCGCACACAACTACAATTATTGAAAAGTTGGTTATAATAAAATAACAGCTGAAAAAAAAAACACAATACAAAGTTTCGTAGGGACCAGGCCAGCTCTCGGTACACGTAGGGGAGTTGACGGGTGCCGCTGAAGATTTCGACGGCTTAGTAGACAGCGAGGGTGCCCGGAATTGCAGCCATCTCAATACGTTGCGCGGGTCACTCCATACTTCGCCGCCTACAGCGAGCCTCCCGACACCGACTGACCGCGCTTCTTGCTGGTTGCACGTCAACTGCCGAATGCCGATTTCAAAGCAGTCAAAACTCTTTCGGGACGTATCGTCCCCTCTCAAGGTAATTTCTTTTTCCTCGAACACATGTCTCTCCTTTCGGTACAAGTGTAGGGAAAACTCAGCGCCGCCGCTGCTGCGTCGCCAGTCGCCGAATGTCAGTCTTCCCAACACAAAAGCAGCCTTTCCTTAGACGATGGGGTGCGCGGGCGAGACTGAAAATTGCAGTCGTTTGTGACATACACACAAAGACATACGAAGCATACTTTCAGATGTTCTTGTATCACAGTGGCACATACATGGTCCTAGAAGACCCTGGAAGACAGGCCAAAATAACACACACTCGGTGGCATAAACTGAATAGTTAACTAAAGTGAAATCAAATGTAATAATGACACACTAATGACAATGTGCAAAATATAGTCAATTACAGTTTTATCAAGTTGTGAAGCTTTGTTCATTTGATATCTGCATACGGCAAGGGGGTCCTAATTATACATTTAAACTTTGCAACAAATCCTTACCGTGCAGCGAACTGTCCCTGTTATTCTAAATGTGCACAAAAGCAAGTACTGTACGACTGAATAATTGCTGATAGGCGCTGCGAGGGCTGATTGTCACATTCGAGCACAACTACTCATTATATGAAGTAAAGTGTATTTCGTGCTTTAGGGTACCAGGCCGGTACCATGCCTTGAATACCAAACTCTTTGTTACCTTTGCCAAAATCTATAAGCCCAACAAATCGTATGCTGCAATTGAAACTTCTATGAACGAATGACTCACCATGTGGGGGCACTCACTGACACTCCCACATTTAAGTGCACATATATACCCTATAAAGAGGACAGAGGGATGACCACTGCCATAGCTCAGTGGTAGAGCATCGAACATGTTATTCAAGGTTTCAGGTTCGGTCACTGCCAGGGGGAAGTTATCGTTTCATCCATTTTCTTTCTTCACATTTACATACTTCTAATAAAATTTGCTGTACTTTCCTAGAAACCGTTGTCTTTAGTTCTCATTAAGGTTGCATCTAACAAAATAAAAATAGCCCTTAAATGTACTCTTCTTTCTTCACCATGTGAGTTGTCATCTGTGAACATCAATAGTAATCATCACCCTAAAATATTGAAAGTTGACTTGAAAGTCCTTGATTATTAAATATAGAAGACACAAAGTTTCTGGAAGAGAAAGGTTCATCGTCTGAAACTGCTTGAGTTAATCCCAACATGCTACCTTGGGAAAGTCAGTGGGTGACCACAGATATTTGTTGTGTTAAGGATACACTCAGTCAGAAGTGTGGTTACTCAACCCTTAACACCTCTCTAAGCAATTTCTTTGGCTTACACAACCATTACGGGGCCTTGTAGCAGCATAAAAACAAAGAGAAAAACGAAACTAGTGATTGCTAAATCAATGGAAATTCTGGTTGTTCCAGGGCTCATCCTGAAAACATCTGAGTGCTTTTAAATTATTTATATTTAAATGGTGCCGTACAAGTTGTACAAGACCATTAGTGCCCTTCATTATGAGTGTAACCTACAGAAAGACGACTGCATGTCCTGCTGTCAGTCGTGTAGATGGAGGTGGGAGAGAAATGTTGCCATCGTCATAGGTAGAAATTTGATTTGTTTAATTTAACCAGTGATGAAGCTTTAAATGGACATCAGACAAACAATGAATTAGTTTAGGTCGATAAACTGCACGCTGAGCACTCTAATGCCAAAAGTCTTACTGTCATAGGTTCATTATTAGCGGAGAAAACAGTTTCACTTCTAAATTTCGCACCATATTCTTTGCGCGTGACACAGCAAATTTCAAAATGTATTTTTCATATTTTCCAACATGGGCTCAATGAAATTTTCCAAAACTTCGTATGCTAGGTCTAGAGCACCAACAGAAGAAAATGTACTTCAGTTTTATCGAATAGAAGCTAGTAGGACCCAGTAGATGCCTTCAAATTTTAGTATCTCACTGTTTGGTGCTGAAATCTCACAGTGGCGTCTCCACCCGCATTTTCTTTTAACGAGTTTTCTCGCTTATTAAGTGTTCATGTAGTGTTGTTTTCGGGATAGTGAAATTGTACTTTACTAATATATGAAGAATGTTTTTGCTATTAGTTTCCCTTTAGAAGATGCTGTAAGCAAAACTCTAGATTGGTCTTGCGCATTTCATGCTATTCAACAAGCTGCCAAATTCTAATAAAAGGGCACTGTTTCATTACATTTACATTGGAACGCTACTGAAATAATCAGTCAGTACGACCTAACCTGTTGTACTGACTATCAAAGTGCCACAATTCTCAAGCTGCCACGCCAGGACCGCACAGATTAGCCGAACAGTCTGGTTTTCCCTACACATTGAATACTGAAAAAGAAGTGATTTAGAAAACTGCCATGCAGGATAATCAGAATTTAAAAAAAAGAGAATAACTGAATGGCCCTCCTGTTGTTTCATTCAATGAAGTATTCTTGATAGCTCAATCTTCTTGGTGTACTTGGCTACTTTTCAGCTTGCTATTATAGGAGCCATTGTAAACTGGTGAACACACCAAGAGGCGTAGGTGGGAGAAGCTGCCTAAATGTTACAGCATCACTTAGTGTGCTCAAGTGATTGGGCAAGCATTGCTAACACGTCTCTATCTACCATAGACTGGCAAACTCGCTCATCAAGTCGACCCATTCGAACTTCCTCAGACTCGAATCAAGACGCGAGTCTGAGAGGACCGGGTGAGTGATATTTGGGTGAGCTTGAGTCGGGGTGACACCAACCTGCGGTCCTATCTACTCATATTCAGCATTACTGTCACTTTTATGTGGGTTTACATTTATACTCCCTTCTAATCAAACATAGCATTGAAACACCTTCTCAATATATATAGATCAAAGGCATGAATCACGTTGGGGAGGAAGCCTAAGGCTCTCACCCCCTTCCCCCTCCACATAGACATAAAGCCGTAGGTGCTGATCTTGGTATGAATAAACAGGAGCAGTTAATCCTGGAAAGGGGTGATTCGAAGGTGCCGGAATTTTTTCTCGATTGCATTCACCCACAATTTCATCTGGAAGGCTGTTCCACATGCGATGACATGGGGGAGTGCAGATGAGTTCAAAATGTATGTTTTACCGAGCAAGCATGTGAATGAAACATGATTGTTCAGTCTCTTTGATGATTGATGATTGATTGATATGTGGGGTTTAACGTTCCAAAACCACCATATGAATATGAGAGACACCGTAGTGGAGGGCTCCGGAAATTTTGACCATCTGGGGTTCTTTAATGCGCACCCTAATCTGAGCACACAACATTTCCGCCTCCATCGGAAATGCATCCGCCACAGCTAGGATTCGGTCCCGCGACCTGCGGGTCAGCAGCCGAGTACCTTAACCACTACACCACCGCGGCGGGGCCAGTCTCTTTGATGTGAATGCAGATGTCTGCAATGTTATTGATAATGGCCTTGTTTCATGTACGTATTTATGAAATAATGAAAGGAGGTTTATATCACGACGGCTGCTCAAAAGAGAAAGTGATAAGTTCTCTTTTAATTTGTGTTATTTGCGCTATGACCGTAGTTTTAGAAGATGAATCTAGCGGCTCTATTCTGAATCGACTGCAGTGAAATAAATGTAATGAGGGGACCAAACTGCAGAGGCGAATTCAAGCTGAGGGCGAACAAATGTCACGTAAGCTAAGGCACGTATATTTGTGTGCGTCTTACGTAGATTGCGGCGTATGTAGCCTAATGATCGTGAGGCGTCACTGCAGATGTTGGTGATGTGGGTAGTCCAGGAAAGGTTAGATGTGAATGTTACACCGAAATATTTAGGAGTTAACACTGGATACGCGAGTGCCATTAATAAAGAAAGAAAACTCAGAGTTTAAATGTTTACGAGAGAAGGACATTACATTTACTTGAATTAAAGGATATTAGCTAATAATTACACCAATTGCTAATGAGGTCGAGGTCACTTTGAATTATTACTTGATCACAAGTACTAGTCATTGCTCGGCAAGTTATACAGTCAGGGAAAATGCACACTTGTGAGGATAAATTACTTGGTAAGTCATCAATATAAGTAAGGAAAAGCAGCGGACCGAGCACACTCTCTTGGGGCACACCAGAACAAACATATGAAAGTGGGGATGAAAACTAATTAACAATGGTGAATTGCTGCCGCTTTGTCGCCAAATCAATAAACGACCTCAGTTGGAGACTTCTTAACAGCATGAGTTATGGTGCTACGTAAGTCACTTAGAAATGAAGGATTAGTGTCTGGAGAGTGATAACAGCAACAAATCAATAATTTCTCAAATTGAGTCCTGCAAATAACCCATACCATTTCTATATTTGTAGAAGGTGCCATTAGATAAGAGGTTATTGCCTTTTAATGCCTTTAATTATACCTCCACCTCTCCTGTTAAAGCGATCACAACGATAAATGTTATAAGCATTTTATAGGGGACTAATTTCATTATCTGAAATATCTGCATGAAATATCTCAGTGAAGATGATTATGTCAGAGCATGTGTCATCAAGGAAGGAGCAGACCTTTCGCAGAAGGCTGCGAATATTAGTGAATGATACGGTGAGTGGGGGTGAATTCCGAAGCTCGGGTGCCTGCTTGAATTCACAGATGCGGTTAACATGCCTTAGCTATCTGCGTAGTCGCACTACCGTGCTTGTTGCATGGTCGTACACGTATGCTGCATCTTTTATGCGCAATCTGTCAACAGATAGCCTAAAGAATTTTTTTCTGGCCTTGGCGAATTCGATAAGCTTTCGTCTTGCCTCTCGCGTGGCAAGAGAGACGTCTTCCCGAATAGAAAACTCGGACCCTTTAAGCTTTCTTGCAGCGGACAAGATGCGCTCTTTGTTTTTATAGAAGGTCATTTTTGCAATAAAAGTAATAAAGGTGCGATACCAAAGAGTGCCAAAAATACCAATTATGTGAGATACTGGTTTTATAGAACATTAACACCACATTCAAGAAAGCTAATTCTGGGCTAACGAACTCAAAGTTGACTCACTTAGACTCACTCAGACTCAATTTAAGCGGCAATTTTAAGTCCGAGTGAGCCATATTTTGTTGAGTTTGAGTCTCGGTGAGCTCAGTTGAGAAAGGTTTTAGTGGCCGTGAGTCTGAGTGAGTGCAGCTGAAGGAAAATTTTGGCGAGTCTGAGTCAGAGTAGGCTCTAAGTGCAAATACACATTATGAGCGAGTCCGAGTGAGCTCCTCATTTTACGCCGACCTATGCTATCTACATTTCGATCATTGAATTGACAGTTTGTACTATAGTTCACTAGGCTG